ACGGATTCTTCTAATTAAAAAACAACTTAAAAACAGGGTAGTACAACACAACACAGTACAACACAGTACAACACAGTACAGTACAGTACAGTACAGTACAACACAGTACAGTACAGTACAGTACAGTACAGTACAGTACAGTACAGTACAGTACAGTACAGTACAGTACAGTACAGTACAGTACAGTACAGTACAGTACAGTACAGTACAGTACAGTACAGTACAGTACAGTACAGTACAGTACAGTACAGTACAGTACAGTACAGTACAGTACAGTACAGTACAGTACAGTACAGTACAGTACAGTACAGTACAGTACAGTACAGTACAGTACAGTACAGTACAGTACAGTACAGTACCGTAATCTTTCTGTACAACCTACGTTGCGCATGACGGTAAAACCTTTTTTATTACAATCATAATTATTAAATCAATAGTCACTATATCTATGCGACGCTTCATGTGCGATCGCATCCGTGCTAGTAAAAAATCATGTTTAAATCTTCACGTGTGCGATCTCATAAAATGCGGCTAAAATGCACTTTCAAAGGTGTGCAAATTAGTAACTTATAATTTAAATAGATTAAAAAATTTTATTTTAACATTATTATAACTCTTAAAAATGCAAATTTGAATAATTGAAGATTTTTAAAAGTTTATTAAAAAGTTACATTAAAATAAATGTTTTTAAAATTTGTGGTTTTTCAAAATAAAAAATTTCTGGCATATTGGAAGAAATTGTCAGAAAAAACATTTTGAATTTTTAAAAATGGACCCCGGATTTAGAATCAGCGACCCTGAAAATCCCCAAGTTACGATTTTCAAGCAAATTGGATCAACTTTGGGAGCGTTCACACATGATGTCACGCAATTTTTCGAGATTTCTTACCCCTACCCCCCTCCTATCACGCTCTGTCACATACAAGTAAACCCCTACCCCCTCAATGGACGTCACATTTCATGACTCCCCCTAATTTTTTATTTAAATTTTTTTAGGGATAATAAAAAAATGAATATTTAATACAATGTATTACCATTTAAGCCATTTTTATTTTTCAGTTAGCAATCTTTATAAAAGTGATGTCACACTTAAGATGCCCCCACCTTCCCATGTCATATTTTGTCACGTTTGGTGAAGACCCCCCTCCCAGAGCGTGACATCATTTGTGAATTCTCCCTTTTAAAAAAATCGTCCGCCGTATTGAGTCAACCATTTTGAATTTTGCAAAACGGACCTCGTATTCGTAATCAGCAACTCAGAAATCCCCCAAGTGACAAGTTTTAATCAAATTCAATAAATTTAAAAAATTTTTTGCCACATTGGATCCGTTATTTTAAATTTTGAAAAACGGACCTAAAATTCGTAATCAGCGCACCCGAAAATCCCCAAGTAACGATTTTCAAGCTAAATGCATTAAATTTTCAAAATCTCGTCTGCCGTATTGGATGCGCCATTTTGAATTTTAAAAGTATAATAGAAGCAAGCGCATAGCGCCTCTATCACAGGGTTTCGCGGCTTATATTACAATTTTAAAAAAAACGAACAATCATCTCCATGCTTAACATAAACATTTATTTTAAACCACCTCTATAACAACGGTTGCTATGGTAACCGTTTCCATAGCAACCGTTGCTAGGGTAATCAACAACACTAGTAGATCCCAACAGGTGGTTGTTGGGTGTCGACGAGTCTCATGTCTCAATTGAGAGAAGTCTCAAGTCTCAATTGCGACTAGTCTCATGTCTCAATTGAGACGAGTCCTAAGTCACAATTGAGACAAGTCTTAAGTCTCAATTGAGATAAGTCTCAAGTCTCAATTGCGACTAGTCTCATGTCTCAATTGAGACAAGTCTCAAGTCTCAATTGCGACTAGTCTCATGTCTCAATTGAGACAAGTCTCATGTCTCAATTGAGACAAGTCTCAAGTCTCAATTAAGACGAGTCTTATGTCTCAATTGAGAGAAGTCTCAAGCCTCAATTGCGACAAGTCTCATGTCTCAATTGAGACGAGTCTCAACTCTCAATTGAGACAAATCTCAAGTCTCATTTGAGAAATAATAATTTGCCTTTTCAACAGGCAAGGGGTTAACCACTTTATTTTAACCCTTTTATAACCCTTGGATACATTGTAAACAATTTTTACCGCCATCTTAAATAATTATGGTAACGAAAACTAAAAAAAATTTGATTTTTTGAAAAAAACTCAGTGTATTCTCCTCTTAAGTGAATTTGAATTTGTGTTATAGCTAGTGACTTTGCGCTACGCTCCGAAGCGATTACACCGTAGCGATTTGGAACAAAATCTTGACCAATTCGCTAACTCGTAGCGCCGATAGACTTTGTTTTTTATCTTACACGCCACTAATTAATTTTTTTGACAAAATTCAAACGGGAGTTGATCTTGATTATCATATACAATAAGTCTGTAAAAAAAAATTAATTTTTTAGTGCTAATTAATGCAATGCGCTACTTAGCGCCGTTGCTAAAAGGAATCCCATAGCAGGGGTCTTTTGCCTCGTTACTATTTTTTTAGTAACGATTTTAAAAGCCAGACCCCATGGGTCCTTTTCGACGTCCTCGATTAGGTCCTTCCAGCTACGGCGTCGTGACGCGCGGATCTCTTTGCTGAGGTTCTTCTTGGCCTCCTTGTATGCTTCATTGAGCAAAGATCTCCCTTAGATCGGGTATAAGTCCTTCTTGCTCTGAAACATGCCTTTCGCAAGGAGGCCAACCTTTCTGACCACCAGTGCAAGCATCTCTTCCTGGGGAATGTGCCTTTGCGACGCGGCATTGGTGCATCGCAGGCGGTGACGATTATATTTGGGGTCTTCCATAAACCACGTGGTCCATTTAGGGGGAGGGGGGGTGTCAGTAAAATGCCACTCTTGACCACGAAGGGGGGGAGGAGTTTCACTTCGGGACACGTGGCTTTGAGATTTTACATCATTTTTCAAATTTACGCGGGATAATCGCGGTCATGCGCATTAAAGCGACTCGCGCATGTTTTCTCGCGAGTGCCTAGCGAGCTGTGATACCGTACGCATCGTGTGTTGTGAAAAAACGAAAATCCATGCTACTCGCCGGTTTTTAACAGTGTACATTTTGCGATATCTGTTCTCGGACAAAAACAGTTTGTTGTCGTGAAGTGGCCTTTAAATTCTTGTGCTTCTGGCACAATCTACAGCCTTCCTACAGTGTGCCTTTCTGGCTGACCGGCCGGCGTGGCCGCGTGGCCATCTTTTTTTTTTTTTGTACGTAAGTAGTCTTTTTTTCTCTTCTTTTCTTTCACTGTCCTGTCTTGGCAGAAAAGTCTACTAACCGGAGGTTCTACCTCCGGTTCTTCAAGCATGGAGACCGACTCTGAGAATGGGTTAACTGACCCTCCCTCACGTTCCCATTTGGAAATTGATTCCGCAAACAATTTGTTGCTCTTAAAGCAAATCTCCTCCAGTCACGATGACTTGTCAAATTTAGCTGCAAAAAAGCCGTGCTATGGTGACCATAAAATATCAAACAAAGACTTTTCTCCATCATTTCAACAGTTAACAAACCAATCAAACTCGAACACCAACAACAACAACTCTACTTTCAAACTTACTTATGACAACGCTTTAAAATCAAATTGCACGATATTTATACAACGCGACCCTAAATCAACCGATTTCAAAAAAGATCTCGGCCCTATGTCTGTCGGTCGTCTCTTACACCCACTATTCCCTAACCAAATAGTAGAAATCAATCAAAGCGGCCGCGGTAAGGTAAGGGTTATCGTTAAATCCGGCCAAGCTGCAAATGCGATTCTTAATCACTCGGAATTAAAATCTATAGGTTTGATTGCCGTCATCCCTGCAAGCTTCCTTACTTGTCAGGGAATCATGAACAACGTCGATACTGACATTACTATCGATGAAATTATCGCACATGGTGAGGTTATGGGTCCTCACGTCAATAAAATTAAAATTCTCCAGGCACGACGCTTTAACCGAAAAACCTACGATGAAACAACAAAAGAGGTTAAATATGTTCCATCCAAAACGGTTCTTCTCACCTTTGAAGGCACAGTCCTCCCTCAGAGAGTAGCAGTTTATAAAGGTTCCAGTCCTATTCGACCCTACTTTCCTGATCCGCGTATGTGTTTGAATTGCCTACGTTTTGGTCACATCGCCAAACACTGTCGTTCAAATCTGCGCTGTAAATCCTGCGGTGAAAACGTGTCTCATGATTCGACTAATCCTTGTCCCCTCATTGCATCAAACACGCCCAAGTGCGCTAACTGCTCCGGCTCTCACTTAACTACGTCGAAAGATTGTCCGGAATTTGAATTTCAGAAAAAAGTTCACATTTATGCCACAATGCACAAACTATCATTTGCTGAAGCAAAAGCTGTTCTTCGCCCCAAGAAATCGGCTATTGAACCGAACTCCTTCAACTTCTCCAACTTTCCTCAACTGGGTGAAACTCCAGCTTCTTCTTTCACAAATCACAACTCCTCTCAACGACTTTTTTCAGACATCACAAGTCTTTCTTCTCGTCAACAGAAAAATTCGAGGGGCACCAACAACAACCCCCTAATTCCAACTCCATCTCAACCGCGTAAAAGAACCAATTCTTTTTTTGACACTCAATGGAACAATGGAAGAAGCAATTCCGATCTTCCTAATGGCTTCGCGCTATCCTCTACTTCATTCCAATCTCATCTTCCACTTCCATCACCTGACGCGAACTCTTGTCCCCGTCCTCACAACATTGAATCTCTTTCTTCTCATCTTATCTCCATTATCAACAACTACGTCACACAGCTCTCTTTTAATTCTTCGCCTGAAATATCAAAGCGTAACCAAAGTCTTCTTAACTCTATTATAGAGAATATTCATTCACTGTTTAGCTCTCCAAACCAGAATAACTAATTAACAATATTATAATTAACTATGGATAACCTTTCTAAATTAAACATTTAACAATGGAACTGTCGTGGTGTCTCTAACAAGACACCCGATATCCAAAATCTATCTAATAAATTTGACATTCTCCTTATTTGTGAAACCTTTTTGAAACCTGGTAAAAATGATAACCTTAAATCTCTAAAACAATTTAATATTATCAGACAAGACAGAACGGTAAATAGGGGTGGTGGCCTCGCCATTGTCACCCGTAAAAACATAATTTACTCTAAAGTCTCAACAATATTCACTCAGGAAGACGAACTTGAGACACTTGCGGTTTCAATTGACTCTTCCATGGGTGAATTACTAATAGTTTCTGTCTACAGAGTTCCCGGCAAACAAACCCCCCCTATTTACTGGAAACGTTTCTTTAACTCTATTAAAAATTTGAATTTCAAATCAATTTTTATAGGAGGCGACTTTAACAGCCACAGTACTCTTTGGGGAGGCTCTTACGTCTGCTCTAACGCACGCAACCTTTGCGAACAATTGGATGAGATAGATCTTATAATCCTCAACAATGGCTCACCTACTCTAGCAGGTCGCCCGCCTAACCCTGGCTCTGCATTGGACCTCACTATGGTTTCTCCGAACCTTTACACATCATCATCTTGGAATGTTCACGTCGACCCGTTGGGCAGTGACCATTTTCCTATTCTCACTTCGTTGGGTGTCACAATTCCAATATCAATCTTCTCCTCTCACAAATATAATTTAAGATCAATAAACTGGCCCCTTTTCTCCGAAAATCTTCGTTCATCTATAGAATCAAACATAAATCTTTTAAATACTAATGACCCTATTGCTGATTATAATAATTTTATCCAACTTGTCGATACATCAATTTCTGAAGTGTGCCCCCAACGAAAAATTTCACATACACATACAACTAGAAATGCTACTCCGGCCAGAAAACCATTTGTTCCTGCTCCCTGGTGGAACAGCAAGTGTGATGAGGCAATAAAAAATAGGAAAACGGCTTTTACAAATTACAAATTATCTTCAAATTACCCAAACTATATCAACTACAAAAAAGCTGAAGCCATTGCCAAACGCACACTCAACGAAGCTAGACGCCAATCCTTCAGAACCTTTTGTGACTCTTTGGACAGACACACTCCTTTGACAAAGATATGGTCTGTAATAAAATCTTTTAAAAACCGTTTTACTTAACCACCATCAGCTTCTTGTTCAGCAGACAGGGAAACTATAAATAAACTTCACTCTCTTGTGGACGAACTGTACCCCCCTACTGTATTTCATGACAATTTTCCCAGTAATTTCGACAATAACCTATTTCTAGAAGCACCCTTTTCTTTACAAGAACTCCAAATAGTGATCAACTCCTTTAAAACTAAATCCTCTCCAGGCCTTGATAAAATAGATTACCAAATTATTCAACACTTCCCAACCGAAATCTTGACAACTCTTTTATCAATCATTAATAGAATAATTTTCAGCGGTAACTTTCCCCCTTCTTGGAATAACTTTCTTATCTTTTTCCTTCCAAAATCCTCACCTGGCAAATTCCGCCCCATCTCTTTGGCTTCCTGCCTTTTTAAAATGGTTGAAAAACTTATATACAACAGAATGATTTGGCTTGTGGAACGTGATAAAATACTTAGCCCATACCAATTCGGCTTTAGAAAAGGCAGGTCCTGTTCGGACAATCTCGCCTTAATATCAACAGAGATTTGGTCGGGCTTAGCCCAACGTGAATTCACTGGTGCTCTGTTTCTAGACATAAAAGGTGCTTTCCCAAGCGTAGTCCCGAATATTTTAGCCGAAGACCTTAGATCATTAGGAATCCCTGAATCAATAGCCCGATTCATTTACAACTCAATTAAATGTAAAAACATATTTATCAAAATATATGGCGAAATTATAGGTCCAAGAACCAGTACGGTTGGTCTTCCTCAAGGCAGCATTCTCAGCCCGTTAAACTACGCAATTTACACTAGAAACCTCAAATCTGTTATTCCTGCAGACTGCGAAATTTACGAATTCGCGGATGATATATCAGTTACTTGTCGTTCCCCTAATTTATCTCAAGTTATCAACTCTCTTCAAACTAGCCTTAACGGTCTGTCCGAATTTTTATCTAATATAGGTTTAGAAATCTGCCCCGTTAAAACCAAATTTGTCATTTTTAATAATAAAAAACTCATTACAGACGATCCCGATTTATTTTTATCTTTAAATGAATTCACTATTAAACCTTCCCCTTCAGTAAAATACCTCGGTGTTCACTTTCAGGAATCATCTTCATCTGATACTCACTTTAATTACTTGTGTGACAAAGCCAGAAAAATTTTAAACATTCTTAAAGTCCTTAGGGGTACGTGGTGGGGAGCAGACCCTCAATTGCTTCTTCACATTTACGACTCACTTTTTAGAAGTCTTGCCGATTTTGGCTCTCTTGCCCATAACTTTAAATCTCACAAAAATTTCTCCCGTCTAGAAAAACTCCGTAATCAGGCATTGAGATTAGCCGTAGGTTACAGACAAAGCACACCCATTAACGTAATGTTGGCTGAATGCTGCGAGCCCCCCTTGAGATCAAGATTCAATTTCCTTTCTAAAAAATATCTATTCTAACTTCCCCAATCACACTCTATTTTTCACCGACGGCTCTAAATCAGAAAAAGATCATTTGGCTGGTTGCGCTCTAATCTGCCCGTCCTTAAACCTAACCTCTAAATTCAAATTTTCAAATCATGCTTCAATTTTTTCTCTAGAAGCATTCGCAATTTTATTCACTTTAGATTACATTATTAACTCTAACCTTTCTAACACCATTATTTGCACAGATTCTCTTAGTGTTCTCAATAATTTAAAATCGACAAGTATTTACAAAATCAAATCTTACATAACATTTACTATTAGAAACCGTTTGAAAATTCTTTCTGATCTAAAACGTCCTACAACCCTAGTATGGATCCCCGGTAACGCGGGAATCGAAGGTAACGAGGAGGCAGATAGAGCAGCTAGAGAATCATCAACTAATCCCACCGAAGTTAACATTCCACTAGCATTTTCTGACTTCTTTTATATAGCGCGTAAACAATTATCAGATAGTTGTACTTCACACTTTCTAGACCTAGGAAAAATCAAAGGTATTCATTACACCCAATATTACTTTAAACCCAGAAAGAAACCATGGTTTGCGAACTTCGAAACTCGCAGACTATGGATCACTACAATCTGCCGCTTAAGATCCAATCACTATAATTTAAATGCTAGCTTAGCAAGAAAAAATTATATTAAATCGGGTGACTGTCCTCGCTGTCCCAACGTCGAAGAGGATTTTGACCACATTCTCTGGTCTTGTCCCAGATATAACTCATTCCGACCGAATCTAATAAAAGCTCTTTCTAGGGCTCTAAAATGTTCCCCTCCTTTCAGCTCAGTTCAATTTCTCACTAACCCTACTCCCAGAGTTGTCTCTCATGTGTTTAGATTTTTAAAACTTATTAATATAAAGATTTGAATTAATAACTTTTTCTACTTTGCTTTTATCTCAGGAGCTCCAGAGAGAAAGTTTTGTCGGGAACTTTTCCCTCTGGGTGAACAGTAGAGTAACTTGGAGCTGCGGTTCCCTTCGGCAAACTACTCTCTGGAATCCCTCCTCTTTGTTATTTTTCTTTATTAATCTAATTTTCCTTTCTTGTCTTTTCTTCTATTTCAAATTTACCGCTCTTCTATTTATCCAGTCATACGTTCTCAGCGTTTACATAGTACGTATATTCACTTTTAAGCAACATCCACTCACCAGGTCATGGCCAGATATACGCAGGCGCAAGCCAGTATAGTGCTAACGTTAAACAAACTTAACTTAATGTTTTCTCGCTCACTCCTCATCACCTGTGTTTGTTTACATCTAATGTCAAGTTGCAACCGGTGTATTCGGCAAAAAACAATGTCAATGAAATTTGGAAATCTTTTAAACAAGATAAAAAAACATTAGACGATAATGTAAATAAAAAAATAACAGAATTGCTTCAAAAAAAACAAAACAAGATGAAGATCGTTTAAGTTTTTTTACTCGTCAGGTACGTATTTATTTGTTATTTTAAAATTGATTACAATATTATCTCTAAATTTGAATCTTTGAAAAATTACTGATTAGCAGCGTAAATTTTTATTGTTTTTAAAATCATATTTAGTAGTATTTCAAAGACCGCATATTTCGCATAAAAAATAAATTTTTGTATATGTAAGAATTATTTATGATTTTAATATATTTCTTTTATATTAAAATGGATTATTCTTCTCAAAAATACCCATGCAAATACATATTGCTCTTTATACGATTAAATCTTATTTAAGAACAGAAAAAACTGTGTTTCCTTTTTCTGATTTTAATGAAATGGGGAGGTATATATCGCAATTTAACGAACTTTTCTTCTAGAAACCTTCAAGTAGTAATATTAGCACTCCATCTACTTCTCGTGATATAGCGAACATTGATGATTCTCGTAATAATGACGAAACACCAGTTCCAATAGAACTTGACAGTCCTATAAGAGGTATTAATATGGGAATTCAATTTGTTATTTAATTAAAAATCTGTAATAACACGAACACTTTTTTTGTTTAGAAAATAAATGTAGAAAAATTGAAAAAATCGTGACAAGCAGTGATGAAGCGACTGATGAAGATTGCACAGAAACTAGTACTAACGTAATAAACAAATTTAATACACCTGCTCAAGATACCCTGAAAATACAAATAAGCTTAATAGAAAAAAGACTTATTGCATCAGTTGAGGAACGTGATTCTGGTCTTTCTGGGCCTGAAATTCAAAAAGAAATTGATAAATTGAGAAAGGATCTTGAAGCGAAGAAAAAGTTATTAGTTACAAAAAAGGCCAAAGCCGAACGTGAAAGGAAATACCGACTTCAAAGAAAGGAAACTTTAAATGCGCTAAGGAAAGAAAATCCGGATGTGGCAAAAGATTTGAAGGAGTGGAGTATTTATTAGTTATTCTAGTAATTACAATTTAATTGTTTGTATTTAATAGGGTTATTCGTAGTTAGAAGAAGAACAGAAATTTCATAAATAAATAAATAAACTATTTTTCTTTTAATAGATTTTAAATTCACAGACACCAAAACAAAATTTTTGATATTAATTGCTAAACTATTGCGCTTAAAAGTTTAAACAGTAATTCTCCCTTGGTTTTATTTTATACTGAAAAAATATATTTTCCAGAAAATGTAAAAATTGAAAAATTGAGTTTTAAAACTTCTGACTGCGACTAAATTTTTGATTGATTTATTTTGAAAGCAAATTTTGTACTCTGTAATTAGATTCGAGAATCTTCTGGTAGACCGCGTCTTGAAGATGATCAATCGGAATTGTTAAAAGCAATAATTGACATCGCAACCTTTGATGGAGCAGCGGATAGTCGACGACGCACGGAATTAGTGCGTAGCTGCAAAACTTTACATGACCTACATACAGAGCTTCAAGCCCAAGGCTTCAAGATTTCTCAAAGTGGAACAACTCTTGAATTAAGCGGGCTTCTAGAAGGGAATAGTCTAACTTTTCCTTGTCGAGTCTCTTAGTGTTTCACGAGGGGCTTTTTCGACAAGGAACTTCGTGCCTGCTGCCTCCTCGTGTGTCTCTCACTGAGACTGAGAATTCGATGTACTGGTGGTCACTTGAGGTATAATCCTCAGAGAGCCGCCAGACGCATATGCAGCTAAATATTTTGGCTTCTAAACGTCCATGTTCTCCCCCGATTTACAAATACTAGGTCGTTCCAAGAGATCATTTCGCCGGTCAGAGTTCCTCTTTTATCGAGCATTGTCTCGCCCACCCTGGAGTCTTTGCATTAAAGTCGCCAGTGACGAGAACATCCAACTTGGAATCGCAAAGGCTCGATTCGAGGTCCTGTATATCGGATTCGAAGTCTGTCTGTGGATCGTTTGGCGAGAAGTAACAGCTGTACATACGTATGTTAGCCACCTCTACCCAAACAAATCCACTGCTTGTCTCCAGAAACTTGTCAACCTGCAATTCTGGGTTGCATACCTTGATAGCGGCTCGCTTTGCCTTGTTCTGATACCAGGAAGTGATCTCGATCACTTCCTCGATACTGCTCACTGCAGAACAGGATATCGATCTCATTTTGCCTGGCTGTTTTCATCAGGAGGACCTGTGCATCCTTTCTTGTATGCAGGTTGACCTGAAAAAGCTTTAAGGATTTGCCTTTTTAAGCTTTTCCAGTTCCTCCCTGTAAACTGGGCAAGAAATTCTTCCACTTAAATGGTCTGTCTCAGTCTTCTCCAAGTCAGCACATGTCAAGCACTTAGGATTTTGCACCGGACAGCTCTTCACGAAATGGCCCTCGCCACCGCACTTGCGACAGTTGTTCGTTCTGTCGCGGCCTTGGCAGGCTCGGGTCTTATGTCCATAGACAAGGCATCTTTGACACTTTGTCACTTCCAGATGTCTACGAATTGAGGCGTTAATCCAGTCGATTCTCACTTTTCTAATCGTTAGGAGAGCATCAGAATCTGCCTCTGCAAGACGGATAAGTGACACCATTGTTCCACTAAAACGTGGCAAAAGGCGGCACGTCATGTCCAGATCAGGTTTACTTAACCCCTTTCTCAAGGCTAAAATTCTTCTAACTTAACAATGTAAATTATTAACAAATAATTATTGAGAAACGCTGTTTCAGCACCCCACGGCACAACTTGGCGGAGGTTTCCTACTTTCTCGGTACGGTATTTTTCAGTCTTTCTCTAAATAACATTTAACAATTAATATTCGATTCTTATTGTTAGTAATACTTAAGGGGTTACATCCCAGATAACAAACGTGTCTGGCACGTTACAGGCACAACCAGCGGCGGACCGTGTCCCTGCTGTAACGCACCTTTTGTGCCACCTACTTTATGACAAGACCGACTGTGCCAGCATCGTGCTCGCAATATTCCTGACATATTATCCGGATCTTTTGTCCAGGATATATCTGCCAATAGGCTTGTTTAAATTTATGTTTTTGAATCTTCATTATAAATAAAAAAAGTATTACTTTCACTAATAAAATTAAATAATTTATAAATAAATTAATTTTTATTGATATTTTATTTTTTTGTAGTGATAAGCAAAACAAGTTTGCAATAATTTTTTTTATGGCTCAAAATATATAAAAATATAAATAAAAGAATAAATCTAGGGATAAGAGAAAATAACAAGATTTATTTAAAAATAATTCACAAATTTTTAAAAATGTAGAATACTTTTTAAAATATCTCAAAAATCATGAATAAAAAATTTAAAAATTAAAGTAAATTATCAAAAAGATGAGAAAAATATAAGCCAACAAATTTTTAATAAATTAAGCAGTTTAATAAGTATAAAAATCCTAATAACTTAAGTTTTGTAAAACACATTATAGAAATGTTAAGAAAAGAAAATTTTTAAAATATAAGAAAGTTAAGGAGATTATTCATAAAATGAAGGAGTTTAAAAAATGTAAGAACAAAGCTTTAAAAAACGAAAAAAGCTTAAAATATTTAAAAATGCCCAAAACAAAAACTAAACAGCTTTAAATTTTAGAAAAATTATGAAATGTTAAAAATTGTATAAAATAAAATGTTGTAAGAAAATAGAAGAATTTATAAACGAATGTAAAAAGAATCTGAAAATTAAAAAAAATTGAAATGATTTACAGAAATATTTTTAAAAAATTTAAAAAAATGTTATAACAGAACGAAAAACTATTGAAATATAGGAACGATTGGGAAATTTGTAAAAATACAGGAAAAAATGCAAAAAAAACTGACTAGAATCTATTAAATAAGAATAATATAAGGAAAAAGTTATTCAGTTTAGAGAAGGGACAACATTTCTAAAAAATGAAAAAATTATGAAAAACTATAAAATTTATTAAATGAGCAAAGAATGATAAAAAATTATAAAGGAACTTAACAACAAAATGAGAAAATAACGTATAAACACACACAGCACATGATATTTTTTAAATATTTCTGAAATATTTCATTGAAATTTTGAAATATTCCAATGTAAAGTCCTTGAAATATTGCTGAAATTAGGGAAATGTCCGCCCATAAGTAATATTGCCGTGTAATTTTGCTGAAATATTTGATTAAAATATTATAGAAAAATTCCAACTTAAATGATGCTAAGGATCCTAAGCTGTGTTGAACATGTTAGAAAATAACGATTGATTTCATATTTTAAAAAAGTTTCTAACTTTCTTTGAAATATTTTCTGAATATTGCAGAGTCTTCATTTGTAATATTGCAGGAGTCTTAATGTGTAATATTTCAGCAAAATTTCACGGCAATATTTCTTATAGGCGGACATTTTCCTGTTTTCATCAACATTTCATGAACCTTGCATTGAAATATTTCAAATCTTTCAATGAAATATTCATGAAATGTTTATGAAATATAATGTGATGTGTGGGAAAAAAAGAAATTCCTTAAAAAAATTAAACGATTAACTGAAAAGTTTTTAAAAATTGTACTAAATATTAAACAAATAAAAATTCATGAAACGAATTGAATTAATTGAATAATAAATTGAAAATTGGATGGAATAAATTTAAAAAAAACTATGAAAACTTTTAATAAAGCTAATAAATAGACTTCGAAATATTTATTTTGTCTTACTTTAACAAAGAAATAAATTAATGAATTAATAAAATAAAGATAGATTTAATTATTAATTTTACATTGAGAATTTATATCGATGGCTCCTAAATGAAAACACATTATTCGCGAGAGCAAACAAAAAACACCCTTATTTACGAAAAAAAATAGAAAACTCATCTGAAAATTTTGTAACCTAATTTTCTTAACTTTTGCTATGTTTTTATTTTAAGCCAATATCAAATGTCTAAATAAAGTAATTTAAGGATACAACGTTAGTTTGACACAATATAAACGTTTAAATGAATTTAAATTTTAATGAATATAATATATATTGCATTTAACAATCATGCGATTATACGAATATTCTTAATAACACAAAAAATAATCATAGAATATCTTGAAAATTATTACAATCTATATAATAATATTCAAAATGTTTGATCTATTTATAATAAAAATAATTAATTCTAAGAAGAATATTTGAATAAATAAAATTTTGAAAAACAATAATTTTAAATAAAAGTATTTTATAGTTCATTTTTAGGACAGAATTCTTGTAAATAAAAGCAAGTGCGTTGATAGATCAGTTGGTTAGGCATTAGGTTTAGTTTGCGTTAGGTCCCGGTTTCGATTCCCCTTGCGTGTGTGAGATAATTTAACTTTAAGATAAGTATTGTAAATAATCATACTGAATTAAATATATGCATTTCCGTGATTAAATTCCGAAAACAGCTCATTTTGCTTCCTCGTGGAGGAAGCTATGTAGTCCTTTCGTTTATAAACTTTTTAAAAATGGTGAAAACAAATTTTCCTCTATATAGAAACATGTTATATGAGATCCTGATCAATTGTCCGGATGTATGTATGTGTGTGTGTATGTGTGTGTGGATCGTTTTTGTGAACACGATATCTTTAACAGGTTTTAATGGATTTGGATAAAATTTGGTAGGCTTATTTAACTCATTAATCTCTCAAAAATGACGAGAGGATTTTTAAAAATACCCCAAAAAAAAAATTTTATCGTCTTTTTTCCAAAAATTTTTTTTTAATTGAAAAAATTTTTAAATCGAAAAATTTAAGGTAATATATAATATAATCGTCTTCTTTATGTCAAGATGAATCGATTGATATATATAAAGTATAGATTTGATTGAAATTTAAAGAATTAAAGAAAGTTAAAAAATCAAAAATTCTCATTTTAGCTAAAAAATGAGGTGTTTATTTAAATTCATGTTTATATATGAAATAATTTTATTCCCTGCATTGAAACGAATTGGTTGGTATATATAAAGTATAGATTTGATTTAAAATTTGAGAATTAATAAAAATTGAAAAATCGAAAATTCATATTTTAGCTAAAAAATTTTGTGTTTTTTTTAAATTCAAGTTGATGAATAAAATAATTGTATTCCTTGCATTAAAACGAATCGATTCGTATATATAAAGTTTATGTTACACTCAAAATTAATTAAAATTTTCTTTATTTTTCAAAAAATTTAATTAATTTAAAACATTTTTAATTCGAAAGTTTTTAAATCAATCAATTGAATTGGACAAATTCATTGCTTCCTTCACGAGGAAGCGAATTTTTTGCTTCACATAATGAGGAAGCATAATGTTTATGAAATAAACATAAAGGACCCCCTTCTTGTTTTACTAATGAAATATTTTTGAACACTATTTTTTTAGCTATTTAATCAATGAGATGGTTGAAGTCGCTGCTAACGAATATGACCTCGGAAATTCAATATTCAAAATGGCGGATCTAATATGGCTAACTACAGAGATAAGAATAAGATACATAAGAAACATAAGTTTTGATTAGAACAGAAGCATTTAAAAAATTTTAGTCGGCCATATTGGATCCGCCATTTTGACTTTAGAATTTCTGAGGTCATATTCGTTATCAGCGACCCCAAAAACATAAGAAACATA